GGGGGGGGGGGGGGGGGGAAGGGCGAAGCCTGTCGGGTTGAACGTTTATGGCTTGGGACTTAGATGGACTCAGGCTTTACGAGTTGAGTCCCAGGTTTTGAGGCGTAAGGTTTGTTGAAGGTGTAGGACTGGCTTGACTGCCTGATGTTCGCACAGTTTAGAGCAACTGTAGGGCATCTACGGATTTGTGGAAAACTTAGCGTGCTGCCCCGTTTGAGTTTCAGACCTAATCTATGTCCCCTCATTGGACATGGCTCCGTGATCCAGGGCTCCATTGACACCTACGGCTTTGCGGCTTTCTTTCGGCTGCGGCGAAAATCGCCTAGGCCCACATGCTCGACGAAAAGACAACAAACTCGAAGCCTTTGACTTCAAGCGGCTGGGTGTGCGGACGACCCAACCCCCGAAGCTCAAACCCTCATCACCCCTCATCCACACACAGAGGGAGTTAGCTTTCGGTGGCTTTGCTTTGTGCTCTGGGTGTGTGTGGCTCCTCAGAAACAATGAGCTTAGCCCTGTCAACAGAAGCAACATTGCTACTATACTACTATGGATCAGGTACGACATGCCATTATTCTTAGCAAAACAGTGCCTTAGGAATCCAAAACCTGATCACCTGAGGTTGCAACTGTTGTTCGATTGGCAAGACAAGAATACTAGCGGCAGTTCCGTCGTTGATCTGGTTCTGCTTCTTCGTAAACTGGTGACGACTGTTCTTACTGCCATTATTTTGGTTGTTTCGCATTGAAGTTCTATTCTCCACGTCAACATGAGGCGGGAGGCCGCATCCATCCGAGCAAACTCTTGCTGCCACCATGCTGCCTACAAGAATCCACCGGCGACTGTGACGCCGAGCATCTCGCAACACTTAGAGTGCTCTGCAAGGTGAGCAGGGGACCTTCCGTGAGCTGCCGCAAGCCACGACTCAGAGTCCGGGCCGGCACGGTCAGAGGCTGAAGCGCTGGCCGCACAAAAGCAGCTTCATCGGCAAAGAGCAGGAAAAGTCACAGGCCAGCTCGCTTGCGAAGAGATCCTAATCAAACCACACTTGGGGGGAACCTTGTTGCACTTGTATGAGGATTTCCTAAGCTTAGCAAGGACCAGACTTAGGCACGGGGAGCATCTGCCTCGAGAGCATCTTCTGTGCCTCGCTCTGGAGAACGAAGGCCTCGGGACCAAGCTATCAGAGCTTGCGTGCTGAGCTGCTAAGCCCTCTTCCAGTACCTGAACTCGAAGCATTCTTGAAGCCTTGGGCTTGAGAGAGGTTGGGCTACAGGAGAACGATGTCAAGCTGTGCGTTTTGCTGAGGCTGAGGTTACACCGCATAGCCCCAACCCTGCGACTCCTTCAACACCCTAACGCAAAGACCTGCGGTCAAGCAGCCCAGGCGAAGTCGGAACCGCAGCAAGCACACACCTCGCGTTGATCGAAGGACCTCGGTGAGCTGACTTTTCCTCACTCCCCGCCCCCACCCTCCAACACACAGAAAACAACTTGCTTAAATAGGGGCCGGCGAGCAAAGTGTCGTCTGTGCAGTTTGGGGTTTTAAGCTGCGGGAAGCTCGAAATAGCACAGAAGCAGAAGGAGTTCAGTCCCACGGCCTGCACGGTTCAGGTTTCCTGCAGTCAATCCCTAAAGATGCTGGTCATACAGGCGCCAACCAGATGATGCCGCTACAGCGTATCCGTTTAAAACGCGGAGAACGGCCCAAGGCTGCAGGTTTGAAAGGCAGGGTTCTGGGGTCCGGCTTGAAGGGTCAGGTTTTCAACCAGTACAACCCGATTCCCCTTCGCTCTGCTGCAGCTCTCGGCCGCTGGGACCTGAAAGCCGGCAGTGTAGGCCTTCTGGTTTGGAGTTTGCGGCTCAGGGCTTTCCGGTTGAGGCCTCACTGCAGAAGGTGCTGCCAGAGACAAAGTCAGCACTTTCCATTGGATCTGTTCAAAGCTAACGCGGCGAATGTCCTGGTAAAGATAGCGATAGCCACTGCGACAATAGTTAAGACTAAGACAAAACCAGATGGCCAAAACAGACCCGCACGGGTTTGAAGCAATGTCCATCTTCAGTCCCTGATCAACTCCAGGCAAGCCGCTCCCATGTTGGCGCCCTCGGCACTTCGATGCAGGCCTCGTGTATGTCTTTTCAAAGACCAGCCCCAAAAGACGCAGAGCCTGTAGCCTCTAAACCCGGCCTGATGTAGCGCCAGAGCGTAGGACTCGAGTTTGTGGTCGTGCAGCATCTCCTGAAATTCGGGCTCAAAGGGCTTAGGGCTTTGGTCGCAGGAGCGGTTGAACCCGCAAGCATCCCATGTTCTTTGTGATGAAAGCTGGATTTCACCCTCACATGAGTTGGCCCACACCCCGAAACGCCGCGAAGGCCGATTTTGTATAATGGCCTCAGGAAAGTATGGTACCGACACGGTCGCAGCATCGACATCATCATGATGACAGTGATGGTCGCTGGAATAACTACAACTGAAGAAGCGTACAATCAGTATAGTTCTTGCCGTTGTTGTTGCTGTTGCGGCTGATGTTGCTGCTGCCCCTGCTGGCGCTAGAGCCAAGAATAACAAACAGCTTCCATGATATCAGAATGACAGTCAAAGCCCTTCGAGAGACGGACCAGCAATGCTGAGGTGTCCTGTGAGGGCACAATCCGTCTCAAGGCCTGGGCGGCAGACTCGATGACACTTCGCAGATTCGCGTTTCGGGTGGCCAGCTCGGGTTCGTGTCTTACTTGGCAGATGACGTGGACCGCGCAGGCAAACAGTGTTTGGTGACCTTGCTTAGTCAAATCAAGGACGAGGATTACCCTCGCGACGCGGCCTTCTTTATGAATTTCTAAACAGCAAGGGAGACACCTCATTACAAAACAGATTCCCCTCCTACGAAAGATGGCTTCGCATCCAGAGAGCAAAGCAATCGCTTGCTTTTGTTTGCCGCTGCTTGCTGCACAAAGACTGCATACAATAAAGGAGTAAAGTAATCCAGAATCCACAAGCACTCCTACAGCGGTAGGAGTAGCAGAAGAGTAGCAGTCGCAGCAGGAGTAGGAGTTGGAGTTGGAGTTGGAGTTGGAGTGGGAGGAGCGGGAGTAGCAGCAGCAGCAGCAAGTAGCAGAACAAGAACTAGTACGAGGACAAGTACTAGTACTAGTACTAGTACTAGTACTAGTACTAGTACTAGTACTAGTACTAGTACTAGTACTAGTACTGGTACTGTACTAGTACTAGTAGCAGTAGCAGTAGTAGTAGTAGTAGTAGTAGCAGCAGCAGCAGCAGTAGTAGTAGTCGTCGTCGTCGTAGTCGTAGTAGTTGTCGTTGTTGTTGTTGCTTTTGTTGTGGGAGCAGGGTCGGAGAAGGAGGCGCGGAGCAGGAGGAACAGGAATAGGAATGTTGGTAGGAGCACGAGTGGCAGTGCCTCGTGGCTCGGAGCCGCCAGGGCGGCCCGCGCCAGGCCGTTCTGGCGGTACAAATGTACCTTCCGGTTTTGGGGGGATCTAAAGTATAGGGAGGTTGAGGGTTTAGGGTGTAAGGTTTAGGATTCCAGGAGACCCTCCCAACCTTGGGACCTTCGAGGGGTTCGGCTTTCATGAAGGGTATTCCTTCCAGATAAGACCCTCTCAGTTTCGCGGTTTTAATATGTTTTCCTTTTCTTAGTGGACGGGAAATACAAGGTTGCAAAGGACAGACTAGAGGTATGCCGGGTTTCAATCTTTAACGGTTTATGCGTGCATGGTGGGTTTCGGGTCTAATGCGCTTCCAGGAAGCTCTAAATCCAGGCCGAGGCTCGAACTCTCGGGGGTTGGCGTTGGCTTCAGGTGTTTGGGCTGGGGCAAGCGGGTGGTGATCCGAAAACATTACGAACGCCGCCTGGACCTCCGCTCTGACCTCTCTAGAGCCCAGGCGGTGCGAGATCCGCGCTTGGACGTCGGAACTGGGCGTTGGCAGCCGAGGTGCTACTTGTCCGGGGATGAAGAACCTGCAGCGTCGGAGTCATGGAACATCAACGTCCGGGGAGAGGAGATGGTGGGCTGAGACTTTGGAGTCTTCGAGTGCGGGTAGAGCTTGGAGTTGGGTGCGGGCTTCAGCATAGGAGCAAAGCTCAATTGCAACCCTGTCCCTTCGCCAAACCTGCAGCCTCGTTAGCGACAACCCTGAATTCCCAAGCAAAGGCCATGTCATCTTCGTCATCATCACCACCGGCAGCACCCTAAAGCCTTCGTCATCACCGAAATCCAACTGCATCCAGGCAGCTCCGTATGCTGCCGGGAACCTTCCGGCGGAGGAGGCTGGGGTCCTCGGCTCAGTTGAACTTAGGCTTGGAGGTTTGGGGTCGCCCATGGGATCATGAGATCAGGCAGTCTACCTGAAAGGCGTGGTGGAAGACTGTGTCAACACGAACTCGCCCTCGTGCCAGTGACATTGGCATTTGAGGTGCTGCCTCGTTGTTCGCTGTGTCTTCACTACTATTCGGACAGTGACTGAGTTGTGCGATCATAGAAAGCAGGGCAGACACAGAATTCCATTGTTGTGATCTGGTAACACAATCGTTTTTGAACAAGAACATTCACATCACATGGTGGCACTCAATGTCGAAAGAATGTAAGTCTCCTTCCGCCGTTCCGCTCCTACTCGGAAAGCTCTGCAAAGCCACCGAGCTGAATCCCTGCAGCAGCCGGAAAGGAGATCTTGTGCGAAATGTCCTGGAAAAGTGGGGGATTTAGCTCAGGGCTTCGGGTCTTGAGCGGTTGGTGTTCAGGCTCTGGGGTCCAGGGGTTCGGGGCTTGAAGGTCTTGGGGTTGCAGTGCGGGTCTAGACCGTCTAGAGCTTCAGGGTGGTTTGTTTTCTGGTCCGTTCGAGCTCGGTTTCAGGGCTTTTTATAAGCCTCGGAATCCTGAACCGTGCAGAGCGAGTGTTTGCGGTCTGGAATGCGATAGGAATTGGCAGCAGAGAATATATAGCCTTTTTGCGATTTAGTAAACAGGGTTCGATACGGAAGTACCTAGATGCCTAGGATAGGGGTCGTTTTCGGCTTTAGAGTGGTGTGCCAGACTTTTCACACATCGGGACTGCACAGGAAGAATGTGACCAGTTGTTGGGGTCGCTATGTATCCGAGCTTCGAGCTAGGATCTAGTGTGGCAAGAACCGGGGCTTCGGAGGGATAACTTTGTGGATCGCTGAGGCTCTCAAACTAAGAGAACAGCAGGAATGAAGAATCGGCACGCCCCCCAAAGCTTCAGAAAGCAGGCAGCTAAACAGCCCAAACTGCTGAAAACCAGAGCTTTTCAGAATGCAGCCCTCATTCTCACTCTACATCCTGGATCCTAGAGCCTCAAACTATAAATCCTACTGAAACCTTAAAGCCCAAATCCTGAATCTGATGCGCTACAGCTCACAGCCTAAATCCATATCCCCTCGCTCTGTCGTGCCTGCCAGAGGCCTCCTAAGCGATCCAGAGCGGAAGGCGCCGGTGGTGCCGGGGGCGCCGAAGGCTGTTCGAAGCGCATGGGTGTACGGTTGGCTTCAGTTTCAATAGCTTGGGAACTTTGGCTTGGGGTTCGGGACTCGCGACTTGGGTTTAGAAGTTTGGAGGCTGCTACAGGCCTGGTTCGTCTAGGAGCCGCGAAACTGAACTTCAAAGCAAGCCCATGCTACACGATCTGCCAACCTCCAGGCAGGTCGCAACGATTGTCGCTTCTGCATCGGTCTCTCGTACTCCAAAACCCCCTAAACCCACTGTGCCCTGCGGCGAACTGAAGCTTCCCAGCGCTACGGATGCGTCTAGCAACTGGATAGGTCAACAACAACAAAAACAACATCAGCAAAAGCCAACTTGTTGTGCTTATCCTTCAGGCTTCATGCTTAGCACAAACTGGTCAAGAGCAGGTGTGGCATGAGACCTGCTCCATGTCTTCTGGACCAGGCTCATCCGCCACCTAAGAGGCACCAGGCTAGGGACGAACCATCTGCTTGGGGTCTCGTGTTCAGGCATGAACTTGGCTACATGGCTTTGTAGGGTTGCTTGGTTTGCGGTCATCATCGATGTTGTCTACTGATAGTGCTGTTTCCACCCGTGAAACATGCGGGATACGATTGCATATGTTACAGAAGTACGAACAGCCAAAATCTACTGCAGCTACACATAAGAGCATGTGCATGTATACCCAGCTGCACTGCACGTTATAGGAGACACTCACAATCGAGTCCCCAGTCAGTCGGCTTCACACCAAAGCCACTGCAGCTAAACATTGACAGGTGGACATGTTCAACAGTGCTGTACCATACCGCACATCAAATTGTATAGAGTTGCATCCTGAGCCGTTTGTTTAGAAGGCAAGCAGGACCTGCACAATCAAGCCGGTTTTTGTTGCGGTCGCACGGGATCTGTTCATGCTTGGGAATCCGAGGAGGCACAATGTTTGTTATTCAAGAACCATGTCGTTTTGGTTATAGTGGCAATAGCTCAGATCGGGCATTGACGGGGATGTTGGGGTTCTTAGAGTCCTGGGCCCTAGGCTTCAGGATTCAAGCACAGACTCGCCTGAATCCTGAACAACAGCCGATGAGGGAGCACCACAGGAACAGAACCCCCAATGCCAACCGTCGCCACAAGCATAATTACGGGTGAGAGGGATCAGACAGCGGAACAAGAACAGAAACTAATGCCCCCCATGCACCCAAGCCCTAAACCCTCAAAGCTCCGCATACAGAAACCCGCGAAACCCTGCGGCACCTCCTCGGCCGTGGCCCTGAGCATGGCGCCTTCCGAAGCTCCCCAAAGGCCCGCTGAAAGACATCTTACACAAGGCCCCACAGGAGAACGTGATCTATGGGGCCCGAATACTTAGACTAGGGTTTGGATGATTGGTCGCGACTTTAATTTAGGACCTGAAAAAGGAAGCTTTTGGGGCTCCGAAACTAACTTCTACTTGCAACTCTAACAGCAAGTACGGATCTGTGCGGCCGTACACGTCGGCAGACTGGAGGCTTGAATGTTGCTCTCGTTCAGGCTGGGGGGGGGGTCGAAATACATGCAGCAAACAGAATCAGAATACAATCATGTCGCCGATTCCACGCAAAGCCAGATGGGAGGTTCTAACGTCGTTTGGTGATGCGAGGGACGTGTCTGGATCCAAGTTGGAGGCCTAAGTAGAACTACCTACACAGACAAAAATACTTTATTAGTTTTCCTGCACTCCGGCTGCCGGCAGAAACGCCCTTGCGACTGGTCTTCAGGGAGATCTTGGACGTGGCGAGCTCCCGGCACTTGCTCCGACACGGCTACAGCCTCATGAGAAGCCTAAACTGGCCTAAACCTACATCCTCAAACTGCCCCTCATAAGAAGGGTGCCGGGGTGCCGTTTAAGTCGCCACCCTCGGCTCGCAGCGCGCGCTGCGCCCGAGCGCGCTCGACACCGGCCTCCCCGAAGACGGAGCAAAAGGTCAAGAAACCAAATCCCGAACTTGAACGCCCAGCCGGAAACCTCAAACCCTAAGTTGAGCCCATATACCAGACCCATGACATGCTTTGAGGTGCCCCTCCAGGCCGGACTCATCAAGAAAGGCTCAGCATGTGTTCTTTAAGAAGTTCTACCAAGCACAGGGTGCACATGCGAGGGAACGTTCTCATGCTCAACCGCGGGTGCTCATTGAAATCAGACAAAGCTCTTGGACTCTAGAGAATGACAGGCCTATGCTTGGTATACACGTGACGAGTTTGCACAGTTTGATATAGATATTCTTCTCTAAGAAGGCCTCAAAGCCATTGTCAGTGCTAAACCGGGGTGCCAAAGCCCGGCAGACCCGGAGCGCTGGCCTCCATGAGCATCATCAGCTTCTGGTCGTCGTCCTGTTTTGGGGCTCTTGGCGAGCTTCCGGTAAAGGGGCTAAAGAAGGTCTTTAGAAGGGTTCGATAAGGTGCTCCGCTTTGGGATCTGGGCTTCAAACTTAGCGCACAAAGGCTTTTCGGCTTCCCCATGACTCCAGAGAAAGAAGTTTGGGACACAAGTGGTTTTCACTGTCCACTCTTCAGGCTTTGGCATGCTTTGGCATGCATGGTCAATCTGAATAGGGCCCATGAAGCAGCGTAGTTGAGAGGCACGTGCGACCCTACGATTTGCAGATCTGGACCAGAAGCTCCTGAACTGGTCCAGCATCGCCGCTGGAGCCTGCTGCCACCTTCAGAGGCTGCGCGCTGAAATTTTGTTGAAAGTGCTCAGGAGGCTTGTTCTTCTCATCGAACCTCTCTTGAGGTTGGCTCGGAGGACAGTCGGAAGCTTTGTAAAGGCTCTTGGCTCTTGCCCAGGTTCCCTTCACCTCCAAATCATTCTCAGAGGAGCTTCTCAAACTCCAAACCGTAAACCTTAGTAGTAGGCCCCTAGGATCCCCTAGGGCCTAGGCCCCTTAGGGACTTCCAGGAAGCTTCAGGGCCTCTCCCGAGTCTGCCGCAGAGGGCCCTCCACGGCGCCGGAGCTCCACCACGCGCTCCAGGTCCTCCCGCTGACGGAGGCCGCGAGGAGCTTGGGAATCGATTTGAGATTAGACGAGCTTAGCTTAGAATAGATATTAGAATACTATTAGAGTTCATGGGGCTCTTTATGCTCTTGGTTTTCGCAGGGCTTAGGGAAGTGTTGGTTTTCTTCTTGGGTTTCCCCTCCCTTAGGCTGCAAAATGAGGGGGCACCATTCTGTCGGGAAGTTGGTCAGGAACGAGCCTGGAGGCGATGGGGGAAAGAGGTTCTGCAAGGGCTTGAGTGCCAGGGGCATCTGGCACCTCTGGTGGCTTGGATGGCAAAGGAACAAGTGGTTCAGGCTCAAGGCTTGTAGAGCCGCATGCTGGCAATGATTAAGGTGGTCTGGACACCGCCATCGCTCAAATAATCAAGCCCAATATCGTGGGCCCGTCCTGGACAGAGCGAAGCGGCTGAACCCTCACCTCTCCGTCTCTCTGTTTCCACAGGCACTCGGCCTGCCCTGAACCCTGGAGAGAAGGTTGCAGGTGTCTGGAGCTTACGGCTTGTGGTAGTTTCCTCGAGCCGCCAAAATTTTCGGCCTGCCCTGTAGCCGCAGCAGAAGGTGCAACCCACGGCGAGTCCTTGACTGCTTGCCAGTCCTCCTTCATCCAGGCCTTCGCGCACAACACCGGCTTCTGGCTGTAGGACCAAGTTTGGGGTTTACGAGGCCCATCCAAAACCAATGAACTCCCAGATCGTAGGATCTTTTCTCTTTCCGTGCATGCGACATCAACCCTTGAGGCCCCACCCTGTCATGTTCGGGGTGGGGGGATCTCGACAAGCTTACTTTTATTTCCCTTCGCTTTGTTGGCGGCTCTTTCTCTTAAACCGCAAAAGCATCCGGTAACTGGCCTTGGTCTTTGCCACCTGGCCGGGACAGAGGACGCTGTCAACCAGCTCCTGGCAGAGATTTTTGTGCTCCATGCTGATACCCTCTTCCTTAGACCAGTCGCAACATACGATCCCTGCCAGTACTACTCCTTGCATCAGTACTCTTCGACATGCACCCTCCAACAAAGTCAACAAAGCTCGATGACGACAACGTGGGAAAAGGTGTTGGTCTAACTTACGGCCGTCCAGGGACACCATGGGGGCACCAAAGGAACAAAACCCTGAGGGCCATGCCTGAACGGAGCGGACACTGAGGCGAGGAACGATGTCATCGCGGTTAACGACCTCTGACTGTTCTACTGCAGCCAAAGCCGAAGCCTGGAGCGTTCTGCGGCTCTGAACCCTGCACCCCCTGCTCGCTTCAGGGATCGAATCCTTTGGCTTGGGCCTAAAGCCTTCGGGTTTCGGGTTTCAGGGCCGAGTTTAGGCTTTCGGGTCTATGACAACCCTGGTGTCTGAACTCTGAAAACGAAAGCCCTAAACACTACGACACTGATTCCCAAGTCTCCACAGCCCCAAAACCCTCACTCCCAAACCCCCCTCAACTTCAACTCGAAAACCCCAAATCCCGAAATTCACTTCAGCAGTCTGACCGTTGCAGCAGAGCAGCGGAGACCATGCAGGTGAGAAGGCTGGGCAGAAGCCTCGATCGCCAAGCAGACTCGGGGCTCTGAAAGTTTTCGGCTTCTTGGGCTTTAGGCTAAAGCATGCTGTAGGGCTTCTAGGGCTTCGGATGCTTCGGGGGCTGGGCTCTAGGGCTCTTGGTTTCAGGATGTGCCAAAAGAGGCCAGAAAGGCTCCCACCGGTTCTTCGTGCTGTGCTGCTTCGGGGTCTCTTTTGTGACAGCAGGGAGTCCCTCAGCTTGGGCCGCTCGGGATGCCAAGGGAGGCCCGGAGCATCCGCTCCGCCGTTTCTCCGCCCGTGTTTCTTCGAGCCCTCCCGGGGGCCTCAATTTCCAAGCCCAGGGCTCCTGGATTCAGCCGTGCGGCGCTTCGTCCACGCAGGCAGGAGTGCCGAAGCCGTAGCAAACTCAGCGCGGGCAGGAACGGAGGAAGATTAGCAAAACCTCTTAAACTCAAAGCCTCACAAACCTCGAATCACCCTATACAAACTAAACATAGGAGGACGGTCGTCACCCCGCGTTAAGAAGGCTGCAATGGCTCTACGGTGGATGTAGAGGGACTCCTGTTGTAGGTTCAGAAATCAAGCCGCAGAGCTCAGGTCCAGGACTTCAGCTACTGAGACCTGGAATCCAAATAGGGTCGTGCTTAGCCATCGCACCTCTAAACAGCGTGCTCTCCAACGCACCGAGGAGCAAATCGATGAGATGTGTGGTCGCAGCATCCTCAGATGAAGCTGGTTTGTGGTCGTTGTGGCTTTCGACTTTGATTTTGCTGCTGGAAAACGGGTCACCGGGCGACCGGAGGGTCTGATTGCAACCGAGGGGTACGACTAACGATGTAAGTTGACGCGGACCCACTGCAGAACAACGATATGCACCCGCAAGTAGTGAGGATCCTAGAAGGGTTGCAAATACTGTTCGTACTTGCAGGATCGGGCGAACTTGCATTTCGGGTTGTACTGGGTAGTATATCTAGTTGACCTCTCTTGATGGACCGTCCCCAGTCCCCAGACCAAGTAAAGTAGAGTTTAGGGATTGTGACACAGGACTGGGGTACCGTCGCTAGGAGCATGGACCATGGAGCTGCACGAGTCAAGCGGCCAAAAACATATCCAATTAGTCTGCAATTTCTACACCACCTCCCATCTCTGCAGCACAGAGAATGCAGAAGCCTCCGTAAACACTGGCTGCAACAGTTCCCTGACGCAAACCTATATGAGAGCAGTCCAGGACCCAATATCAAGTACCAAAGCAGTGCTCTCTGCAACCTCGCGACAGCGTCAGCAGCGCGCCGACGCCGGCTCCCAGAGAGTGACCGACGACCGTGACTCTGTAGCCTCTGGCAAACTCTGTCATGGCTTGGGGACAAACCCAAGGCCCTGCACAAATGAGTACTTCTTACTCTCTGTTTTGGCCTTTTAGCACGCTTTTCACCTCTGTTGAAAACCCACTGGCCCATTTCCCCCTGTGACGTGCCCAGCCCTTTCTCACTCGATGGATGCTGCTGCCGGGTGGCTGTGCATCTGTAGCATTATGTCAATCTCAGGAGTACTCAGGAGTGCTAAGTCTAGAGAAACCATGATTTCCAGAAATAGGAGAAAAAAAAAGGAAATAAATAGGACTTGAGGGTTTATAGGAAATAGAACAAAAATAGGAAAAAAAAATAGGACCTGCCCGCACTCCCCGCACCACGGCCCTGTGTTATCTCCTATTTTTCCCAGGTTTTTCCTACATTTCCCATGGTTCTCCTATTTTATTCCTATTTTTCCCCTATTTTCCCCCTATGTTTTTCTCCTGTTTTTCTCCTACTTTTAAATAGGAGAAAAATAGGAGAAAAATAGGAAACACATAGAAGAAAAATAGGAGGAAAAAAAAAAAGGAGAAAAATAGGACCTGCCCGCACTCCCCGCACCCCGGCCCTGTGTTATCTCCTATTTTTCCTAGGTTTTTCCCTACATTTCCCATGTTTCTCCTATTTTTCTCCTATTTTATTCCTATTTTTCTCCTATTTTTCCCCTATTTTTCCCCTACTTTTAAATAGGAGAAAAATAGGAAAAACTAGGAAAAAATAGGAAAAAACAGAAGAAAAATAGGAGAAAAATAGGAACAAAATAGGAGAAAAATAGAACCTGCCCGCACTCCCCGCACCACGGCCCTGTGTTATCTCCTATGTTTCCTAGGTTTTTGCTACATTTCCCATGTTTCTCCTATTTTTCTCCTATTTTATTCCTATGTTTCTCCTATGTTTCCCCTATTTTTCTTCTATTTTCTCCTACTTTTAAACAGGAGAAAAATTCCAGGAAAATAGGAGAAAAATAGGAGAAACATAGGAAATGTAGGAAAAACCTAAGAAAAATAGGAAAATAACACAGGGGCGAAAGTGGTGTGGGGAGTGCGGGCAGGTCCTATCTTTTTTCCTATTTTTCTCCTATTTAATTTGTATTTCCGAAAAAACCAGGATTCCCATTTTCTTCCTATTTTTATCCTATTTTGAGCCACTTGCGATCTGACTAGAGTTAGCACCAGAGATCGACATAACTACACTGTAGCACTGCTGCATCCTGACCTACAATATTGTCTTTGCGCCGTCCGTCTATACACGCGCGGCTCAGGAATTCGCCTCAAAAGGTACAGCAGCTGTACAAGTTGGCCTCTGGGTGCTGGTGCGCCTCTTCAGGCGCGTAAGTTTGCGGTCTGCCCCTTCGAGGGTTAATCCTCTTCTTAACGGTTCAAAGCTTGGTTGAACTCTGAACGGTTCAAAACCTTTTTGAACATTGCGAGGCCTTGCTCTAGGCGTGCCCTACTTGTGTCAAGAAGCCGGGGCACAATGCAGGTGTGGCCATCGAGAGGAGAGTTCCCGGTGTCGATGAAGCTGAGGATCCGCGAGAAGCAGTCATATCTGGCCAGTTCTTCAGTGTAGTTCATGAGGTGGTGCTCCTGCTTGGCCGTCTCGTATTCGGCCAGAAGCCCCTTGCCCACAGGACCCGGTGGTCTGAGGCAATGACCAATGCCCTGCCAAGTGACGAGATGGCTCTGTGGAAAAGCGCGTCGTGCGAGCTGGGCGCTTGTGTATGCAGTTCGGGGGTCGTGCAAATTCCCTACAATCACGGGGCTGATGCTGGCATCCCCCATGGGGGGCACTGGTCTCGCGGTTGCTGGCCAAGTGCTGATGCCCACGACCATGGCAAACGAGAGAGGCGTGCCAAGTGGTTGCATCAACATGGATGCGTGCCACCAACGAATGAAAGCCTCTTCGTTTAGTCTACCGGCGGTGTCCGTGCCCAGAACCAGTGTCTGGATACCCAAACCGAACCAGTCCATTTCAGGAGGGGTCATAGTTGCGGCGACAATCTGGCTCAAGATTTCGGTGTAGCCCAAGTCGTCGGCAGGCAGGATGCTCAGTAGCCAGTCTGGGCAGCCCCCATTGTCCTGTCCATCTGCATACTTCTCCACACAAGCGAAGACCACACTGGCGAGGCTGTGCGGATGTGTCAGACCTACGCCTGTCCCGAAAAGCAGTGCCAGGAGCTGAAAAATGAAAGCTGCCCGAGATGGATTGCTCGAATCTTGGATCAGGCTTAGAGTCTTGGACTCTGACAGCGGCGCAGCACGGCAGGGTTCTTCTGCGCCGCTATCCATTGCAGACAGGTCACAGGCCCTTGTCATGCCGTTCCATGTAGCCGTGATGCTCTTTGCAAACAGCACTCCTCTTTCCTCAACATCTGGGAAGGGATCCACGACACCGTCCAAGACCAGATGGTGCGTGTACTTCGCGAAGATCGTACCATACACTCCGGCAACTGCAGTACCGTACGATGCCCCGAAGATCGACATGCGAGATGCCCCAACTGCACGACGAAACTGGTCGATGTCGTGGGCCAGATCCACCGTACCACCAAATTGCAGAACGTTGTACTCACGACCGCTTGGCGACTGGAGCTTGAATCGCGGAGCATTGTAGCAAAGGCTATGTTCCAGTTTTAGCAACCGGTAATACCAGCGCAGAAAGGTCTCTTTGAAGTGCTGGATGCCCGATACTGTCACCCGCAAACCCTTAAACCGGAGAATCGACTCCACGTAAGGCGTGGCCTCACGAGAAACGTTCTCGGACACATTGGCACCCAGCGTCAAGCGGACAATCTGGTCGACACCAAGGCGGGAGCTCACGATCTCATGGCATTGCATCCGAGGAAAAGGAAGGATCGGCTCCCCCGTGCTGTAGTTGAAAGGACACGGCGGTGTAGTCATGTCTCCTTCGGTGACCACGCCACGCTGGTCCAGGGCCCACCAGTCGAAGTCTTTATGAAGTCGGCTCTGGTTCCCCTCTCCGTTGATGTCCCAGGAGTAGCTGCTCCATTCAAGGCAGCTGCTGCCAGTACCGGGGCCACCGCAGTGGAGAAGCAAGGGGCCATGCTTGGCAGGCTGCTCTGTTGCCGGAATTGCACGGACACGCAAGCAAACATAGGGCATCGCTTCATACGGCAACATCGCCATGTCGTGCACCAGGGGTGTCTTCAGCCAGCCAAAGTAGCTCTGAACTCCCTCCTCCATCGATACCTGCTCATCCCAGACCAGGACCTCAGGATCCGGGTTCCAAAAGGACCATCCTGCATCAGCTTTCTCGTTGGAGACTTCCTCCTTGAGCCCTCGCAGGCGGGCGGAAGGCTCGGAGTTCAGTCTCCCCTCCGCGGCCGAACCGAAAAGGACCAGCACTAGGCAAGCAAAGCGTGCCATGGCAGAGAAGTGCACACAATGGGAGCCACAAAAAGCCTGGAATGGCTCCAGCCAAAATGTCAGCATAATGCTGCGGATGTGTCGTCCATGGACACATACGACCTCGGCTTGCGGTTTTAGGCTTGGGGGTAGTGCCGACATCTCGATCCCTGCCAAAACGGCTGCTTGCTGAGAAGTACAACCAATCGTTCCAGCACATCGGGAACACATGGCACTACCCATCACACACCAGAAGCCGGTGCCAAACCTCCTCCTATCGGGCACGTTCGCAGCCATGGAGTTGCTGCGCAGTTCCTGGGGCCTGCAAGCACCCTCAAGCCCTTCGAGCCCTGTCGAAAGCGATGCGTTGGACCTCAGAACTGCAACTTGCAAGCTGGCATCCAAGCATATCAATCCAGGAACGCTTTGGACCACGCTCCTAGCTCTAAAGCGCCTAAAATCTCCAATCCCTGGCTGAAGCCCAAAGCCCAAAACTCATCGAGCCTTCGGTGTAAAGACGGATGAGAATGGACCCCATCTCCTGCATGAGCCATTGGGCCGACCTGAAACTGAGGTTTGGAGAAGGAGGTGGCGGGGGGGGGGTGCTGAAGGCTTTGTGGTTCCGGGGGGACTTCCACGCTTGCAGCCCATAGGCCTGCAACTTTCCTCGTCCATCATTGCGGTTTGCTCCGGAGTTGCTGGGGCTCCTGATTCCGTCCTTGTTGCTGTCGCTGTTGCTGTTGCCGTTCCTGTTGGAGCTTAATGTTGATTTCAAAGCGGTTGCTGAAGAAAACGGTGCTGTCGGAGAGGGGGGCGCGCGGTGCTCGTCGGAGGAGGCAGCAGCAGCGGCAGCAGAGCAGGAGGAAGGAGGAGGACCCAAAGGGGCCAATGTCCAAAAACGCGACGAAATGCAGTGTTCCAACATCCGAATTCGTAAGGGTGCGACGATGGGGCTTAGGACTTAGGAGACTGGTAGATGGGTTTGTGGGGACTTAGCGTTTTGGGACGTTGTTCTGGAGCTTTGGGACGTTTGGGACGAAGGCAGATCCAAGCGGCTGGACCATTCCTCGGTGGCCCAAACCAGCACCGAACCTCGCAGATCGCAGAGACCAGTGCTCGAGGTTGCAGGAGATCTGTCGGGGTCTGAAACCTTCCTCGATGTACAGGATGTGCCTTCAGAATTGAGTGATGTTGCTGATTGCTGCCACGCTAATTCCCAGACCACTAGGTCAAGCAGTCCGGACATATGTTCAAAAGTACCGAGGGAAAGTGCGACAGATGTTGCAGATAGACGAAGCAGTGAGCAGGCCATCTACTTGTACCACTGCCGTTCGCTGGGTTCTGGAAACCCTGCTGAGAAGGTAGACTGTATGTGGAGCCAAGGAACTGCTCCTCGGCAGCATTGAAGTCCGTAGCCAGGTCCTGGCAAGTTGATTATGCTTTTCAGGGTCTTTCGGAGCCGTCGCAGTCTGCCATGCATTCGGGTCCGCTGGATTTCGCGTCCCCGGCAGCACCAAGTAAGCAGCATGCGCGGTCCGAGAACAGACCTTAACAGCAGCACTTATCGACAAACGGTGTTCAGGATTTCGGATGTAGACACGACCTCGACATCACGGAAGTATGCGAGACCCGAGCCAATGATGCATGTATTCCGACTCTTGCGATTCTGTGCCTGCTGTGGTCGCGACTTCTGCCTAGCAAATTTCCCAAGTGCAGTGAAAACCCCAGCCTTATTTTTCCAAAAAAAACTTAGCACGTGCACCTGCGCTCAGGGCCTCTACGTCGATGAAACGATCCACCGCCAAAAACTAGAAGCAATCAGCCGGGGAGCCAGGAAGAAGGAAGGAATGGTTGGTGTCGAGGATAGCTCGGCAAGAAGCAGCTCCGATCCGGGCATGGCCTCTGTAGGGCTTTGAGTATTAGAGCGTGTTGGGTGGTTAGGGTGCTCAGAGCGCTTAGGGCTTCTGAAGATTAGGGGGTTTTTCGGGTTTCGGGCCTGGGGTCTCTGGCGCTGAAAGCTGTTCGGTCCCATAGTATGGATTGCAAGGGCTGCCAGGGAAGTGCTGTGGTTTGGGGGGAGGTTTCGGTAATGGGACTCGGGGTTGCGAAAGGGCTTTGCGCTTTGTTAGTTATAGTCTTTAGGGAAACGTACACGTCCGCGGCATGTACTGCTGCGGGTTGCAACTTGGTTTGACGGACCCAGACCCTTGACAACAATGGGGCTTCCAGGGGCACTTCCTGGAGGTAGGTGGTGCCATTTCACTGAGGGTGCACGCTCTCGTTGTGCGCTTTGGGCTTAAGACTGACTAAAACTCTACGGACTTCAACAGCTTGGCTCCTGCGGTGCAAAAAGGCGAATTTAAAACTAGTGAGGCCAATCGATTCAGATTCCTAACCCCTAGCTAACAGTCCAGCCAGTATACTGCCCAAACGATGCAGAGCTCAAAAAACCATGTCTGTAACACTCGTTGGTGCGGGAGAGAGCCGTGGAGACCCCCGCCTGCCGCAGCAAACGCTGAGCATCCGTCGGGGAAGGTTCCTGCAGGTGACACGGTGATGTTGTGAAGAGCTCAAATCTTGGAGCTGATTTTGGGATATTCACTTCTAGCTGTAAAGAGAAACAAGCATCGACAAAAAATCACGGAAATCTGAGTCATGTGAGCATAGGCCTGCAGTGGGTTCAGGGGTTGGGGCTTGACGTTTCGGGAGGTAGGGCTCCAGGGCTTTACGATTTAAGCTTTCGGACCGTAATTTTTTGCTCGAAACACCCGAACCCGAAACCCGTTCAGCTCCTTGTCATGATTGCAGAGAGCACAGCAACATGTCCAACATGTTTGAAACGTCAGGCTTTCGTCCTCTTTGTTTATGCTTGGTCTTCCCACGCTTCGCATCCTAAGTTGACCAAACTCGAAACACTAAACCGCAGCACATGCTCCGCCTTGGACACGAGCAGGAGACGCGTGAGATGTCTCAGGGTCAGGAGCATGCCTGGCGAACTCTTGGGATGTAGGATAGTTGCGATGAAAGGCTTGCGCCGCGTAGAGGGGCTTCGTTTTTCGTGAGGATCCCCCGAAAGATGGGGCCGGAACATGAGCGCCTCGGAACGGTTCAGGACGTTGAGGTCTCAGGTTTAGGCCTGGGCCTCAGTTCTGAAAAGAATGCTGACGGCTGTTGTCTTTCAAGGTTGACAAGTTGCTCACATGTCAGCTTCTGGCTCAAACCGATTAGGAATATCAATTTCCATTATCATCCTTTCGAACTATGCTAGACTCTGCCCACAAGGCAAACCCAAACGACAGAATCCTTCCGAAAGCAAATTTCACCTGTGAGATAAAGATTACTTTCCTATGATTCGGGATGCCGCCCTGTACAGCAAATTCTTATGCACATTAAGAAACCAAGCTTACAAAAGTAGTAGCCACATGATTTGTGTAGTAAGAGTGTAGTAGTTAAGAAAGGAAAGACATCGAAACAAGCCCATGTTACGATGATAGCATTAGCAATCACAGGTGCCATGCTAACGTTCACTGTTGCACGTTCATAGCAACAGCCTATTAGGCCCAGGGCCAAGGCCCCGTGGCCTCTTCTTAAACGTCTAAGTCGGGCAGCGCTTTGCCCAAACTTGGAGCTTCGCAGCACAGCAGGTTTCGGATGCTGGGTTTAGGTCGGCCGGGGCCGAATCATTACCGTTACCTGAGTGGCCTCATGCCTTCTTACGCTTGATCTTGGTGCCCAGGCTTTGTACACTCTGCTTCAGACCTAACCAACCGTATGCCTGTGCCTGGGCGAGGGGTTCTTTAGATTGCAATGGAACTGAAGTTGGGGTCTCGCTCGGCTCAGGGTTTACGGATTTTGGGGTGGAGGGGGTTTCGGGTGCTGACTAAAGGGCCATCCTTCGATTCAAGAACTGCTCTACTAGCACAATTACCTTTTGTCTTAGTATGACTGCTGCCCTGCGTGCAGACCGACCCGCCCCAGCCTCGATCCGGAGCAGGAATGCCACCTGGACCAGGAGCCGGATTGGGGTGCGTGGAGCTCCGAACCCTTGCGTTCAAAATGCTGGAGCCCTGCAGCTCCGAAAATTCATCCGATACTACAGGCGGTAGCATCGCCAGCATCGGACACAGTCACTTGTCTTGGTAGTCGTAGCTGTTACTAGCGTAATTAGCGCAGTTGTTTCCGGATGGCTATGACTACTAAACGTGTGATTACCAGTACTGTCGATTTCGTTGCTTGTGCTAGTGTTGGTACTGTGCCTTGCTACTCATGACTCAGAAAACTCATCATCGACACTAGAAGGAAACGGATGAGAACCCTTGTGCTCGTCATGGCAGTAAGTATCGTTATCACAGGAGTTCTGACGACACTCTTAGCATGATTTCTAGAGGCTGTGATGCTGATTGTGCACAAGCCAGAAGAAGATGAGTCAAACTGCGCTTCATCCCAAGTCAATCAATGTGGTCAAGCCCCAACCGAAATCCTAAATCCTGAACCTTGCACAGTTACACTGAACCTGAAACCCTGAATAAATTTTGAAACCTAACGCCTGAATGCCAGACTAATACCCCTCTACCCTAAAGACTAAACCTTAATCAGGCTCCCACAACAACGCCTTAACCCCAAACCCTCACACCCTTAAAGCCTGAAACCCTCACACTCTACAACCCTGCAACCCAAAAATCAACCCACGCACCCCAAAGCCCTAAAGCCAAACCCTCACACCCCTAAAACCCTCAAACCCCAAAACCCAAAAACTCAAAAACGTTGCACATAAACCCTAAAACCCTCACAGCCTAAAACCCCAAAACCCAAAATTTCATCACAAGAGACCCTAAAGCCCTTACAGCCTAAAAACCTACGGCCTGGCCAGAGGTAAACCCGCAACCGTAAGATCCCCTACTCGTCACGGCTGCTGGGCCAACCCATTGGCCTGAAGCGTCGGTGTGCGCCAAAGCTTCCAAGTTGGGCGTGCGACCTCCCCAGCGTCTTACGATTTAAGGGTGCGGTTGACTGGGTGGGGCGGGGGCGAGGGGGGCAGGTGCTCGGGTAGTAGCTTGGTTGGTGAGGGTCCTTATAATAAGGTGCTTGGGTTTCGGACTTTAGGATGTAAGGTGTGGAGCTTGGAGGGTTTGGGGTGCTACTGCGTGCTGGTAGGTTTTCGTTTGGGTCCATGGGCCTCTTTGTTGTTCCGGGTGTTCTGGAGTCAGGGCAGAGGGTCTGGAGCTTCGTGCCTAGAGCGAAGTGGCCCCGTTTGGGAGTCATGGTGCCGGCATAGGGTGTGAGAAACTCCCGGTCTTCACAAGCCGTTTCAATGCGGGATCTTCCTGACCAAAAGCATCGGCAGCGATCTTCCTTGGAGAGGCACATCACAAAAGAAACCATGAAGTCCGACACCACAAAAGTCGTTGCTCAAACTGGACCTCAGATTGAGTTCAGGATTCTCAGAAAAATCGGGGCCACTAGGGCCGCAGGCAAAGCAACCCCCCTCCCATTTGCGGATGCTGTCTCTCCTAGAAAGCCATAAAGTCAAAGTCTGGAACGAACTGCTTCGGCCTTTTAGCCTCTGATTCCGGACCCACAAAACCCCAGCGCCTGTAACCCGAAGCATCAAGCCCTAAACTCAAAAGCTTGAAGAAAGATTGCGCACCCCCAGAACTCGCTACAAACAGGCTCCTGCCTCGGTGTCCCCAGTGCTCACCCATTGCGTAGTAGAGCCCCGCGAAGAAGTCGGGTGAAAGGAGCTGGCTGTATGCCGGTATCCTGGCCGCTGTGGAATTGTCAAGCCTCTGCTGCTCCTTCTGGGTTGGTGCTTAGGGCTTACCTCATCCCGAAATTGCTTTAGACCCCAACACCTCTAACCATGAATCCTAAGCCCCCACACCCCCAAGTCCTAAACCTCACACAATACCCCAAATCAGAAACGAAATTTCTTTACGAAATCTTGTGCCCCCCTAACCAAACCGGATTTGCGTGTAAGGCTTGGGGTGCTTTAGCTTAGTGGATTTCGGCCTCTTCTAAGCTTGCAGATGATTCCTGGAGGTTATAGATATCATTGGGGCTTTCAAACCTCAAGTCGGGATCTACGGAGGGATGAGGCTTCGGGCTTCGGGCTTCTGGTTTTAGGCATCGTGTTTGCAGTGCGGCTCAGCACTTCGCATTTTGCCCTGAAGTTGCTTTTCTTGCAGCAAGATGCAGCCACGGTGCTCCAACTTCCGGGCAAGGCCCACGATCAGCTGGAAGGACTGGCAAGTGATGATGGTCTAAACAGCACAACTATCATTGGTTCAAGGATGCATTCCGCAATCGATGGCTTTTACTAAAAATTATACTGCTGCTACGACCCGCCTGCAAAGCCTGAACCCTGAACCTTCGTTGGAGCACTTGGGGGGCTGGTGAGGGCTGCTGCAACCTTGGCTGATGTTGGGTCTTGCGCTTTGTGCGTTCAGGGCGAGATTGAATCTGGAACACGACGGTGTCCGGACAGTCCTGCACGCACGTTGGGCATACGAGCCAGTCAAAGTCCAAGGCATCGCAAAAATAGAAACGGAGAGAAGCTCACCTAACACCAGCACAAAAATTAGTCGACCTGCTGAACACGGCACACAGAGATGGCACTTAGACATTGCGTTCAGGCTCGGTGCATGACCCGGCGGTACCCCTGTGCAATAACAAAGCAATTGGACTCCACATGTCGGGCACATTACACCACAGATTAGGGATGGCCAAGGAACAAGATCACAGGTTGTTTCCAAGACCGAATCCACCAGCTTCGTACATCGTGAACCTCATTCCTCCTCGCTAAAGCCACAAAAGCAATGCCTAAATATTCAAATTTACTAGCAAGAGAACTAAGTCCAAAAGCCCCAAACCTGAAACCCTCCAGCAGGAAGCCACGGATTCTCTTCTGAACCCTTAAATCCAGACACCTGAAACCACCCTGCCTCCATGATTTCATTCCCTGCAAGAATGAGAGGCCCATACCTGCTTTAGGGCAATTCCAGGGTAAAGCTTAGGATTCGGCGACCCTGTGTAACAACCCTGTCGAGAAGCGGAAGGCTGTTGCCATTTTCCAGGAAAGCACTTCTGCAGCAGTTATCATATCACTAGTCATGATCACGACAGTAAGCCAGCAGCAACGGCTGCAGCAGCTCCAGCTGTAGAGTAGTAACTGTACTAACAGTTGAAAAAAAGCAGTAGTAGCAATAGAAGCAGCAGCTGTAGTAGTTCAGTAGTCGTCGTAGTAATAACAGCCGTTGCAATCGAAGGAGGAGGAGGAGGAGGAAAAAGCATGGGGACAGAAGAATAAAGTGTCCTACAATTGACTGTGGTTGTATTTCGGCCAAGAGAACCATGGCAACAACAAGAACAGCACCACTAGCAAGCTCCGTGAGACGGTAATCTTTGAGTTCTGGCATCTGGATTTTTTTAAGAATGTGGGCAGGCATGGTGGCTTGTATGCGCAGGTAACAAAAACTTCTAAATTCGTGAAGTAAATCCATCGAGACTGAACCTACTCGGTATGTATGTGTATGTAAGTATATGCCGGTTCATGTATTAGGTCTGTTCTCTTTCTCTCTCTCTCGCTCTCTCTTTCTTTTTTGGCAGGGTTAGGGGCAAGGGGGTTGTCTCTTTCTCTCTCTCTCTCTCTCTCTCTCTCTCTCAGTCTCGCTCTAGATATGTAGCATAGTTAGATAGATAAAAGGCTGACCCAACCCACTTGAATCCGCAACGCCCATGCCAGGACCCACAGCCCGCGTGGCCTGACCAAGTAGTATCCAGCCTTGATAGCCTGTCAGGATTGGGCCGAACCCACACAAAATGTACGCACCTGGAACACCTAAAGCCCGAGATCAGGCAGGGCCGGGCCTCGAACTGACGGCTGGGGTTCACACGGCACCAACAGATCGGAAGCGGGTTTCGATGTGGGGGTGGAGCTCTTGGTCTGAAGGAAGCCAGACGTGGTACCACAAACTCGGCATGCTACAACTCACCAGACGACTCAGCAAACCCCGAGCCGAGCCTGAAATCGACTCTCGCAATCTCTTATGCGGCGAAAAGGCGGCGCAGCAGCCCGGATGGAACAGCTTGGGTGATTGCACGACATGTGCAACGCAGAAGTCAACTTGCGTGTACGGGCTACAAGTATCATGTACAAAGCATGTGAGAGAGAAACGGGCGCACTGATAAGCCTCACCCAAGCCTGAACCTGGAGCTTAAACTCCGAACCCCAAACCCTAAAAGCCGTAAAGCCGAAACAACTGGAGCCTCAATGGTCTGCTGAAGAACCTTATAAAGCCCGAAAAAGCCGACATCCTGAACCCTAAACCATAAACCCAAAAGGACCAAGGCCTGCGCGACCTGGCCCAAAGGAAGGAAGCCGGAGACCTGCTTCAGACCTCGTAGCTCAGTCACTCGGGGGGGCTCAGGGCTCGGAAGGCTTTTTGGTGAGCTTCGGCTGCACGGGGCTTCTTGCCCGGAAGCCCAGACCCAAACAAGCTCACCCTTACCCAAACCCCCCCCGCCCTCTCAAGAACAAAAACCTGAGAACCCCCCAAGCTTCAGCTTCTGGAGGCCCCGGCCGGTCATCACGTGGCCACTGAGTCGGAGCGACTGATCCAGCTTGCTCCTTGGGCTCAGGGAGTTTAGGGTTTAGGGCTTTTCGCTTGGAGGCTTTAGGGTTTGGCCTGGGTTTTCAAGGGGGTTCGGTCGTTCGGCAAAGGACACCTCGGGGCGTAGAGTCCGGGACCCCTGCTCCAACAGCCTAAAGCCTCCCAGCGAAACGCAAGGGCTTGCGTGTGGTTGTTTGGGAATCAAGGAAAGCACAGAGTCGTCAGCCTAAAGTGTGTGGCTTAAATCAAGTCGCTCGTGACCTCAATCTAGCCAACTCCAAAGAAAGGCTTGGGAGGATCTCTCGATGAGGGCTAGGTTTGGGCGCCATCCACTCCCTACGAGTCATCGTGTCTTGCCCCCTGAGGTATCTTCCCAAAACCCTTCTCCGCCCGAAAGCCCTGGCAAAACTGAACCCTGAACCCCCTAAAAACCCCCAGAGCCCCTAAACCCCCTACTCAACCCTAAAACCCTCAACCCACCACCAGAAAAGAGCAAAAAAAGTGTTTAGGGCCTCAAAGCTCCCTCGAAAGCCCAGCAAGACAGGTTTGCTCTCCGAGGGGCTCTGGGTCGTAGCTGAAGGGCTCCAGTTGGTCGGCGAGGAACGCCTGCCGAGATTAGGCCACTGAATGAGCACATCCGTCGAAACAGTCCCAAAAACACCAAAAATACCAAAGATTCAGAGCTACTCCAAAGGCCATTTCTCGAGACAGTCCCCAAAGAAACAAAAACACCAAAGCCCATAGATACTCATATGAGCATATTTCTCGAGACAGTCCAAAAAATAAGGCTACCAAACCCCGTAGGCTAAAACGTAGGCGTATTCCTTGAGACATTCTAAAAGACGAAAAACAAAGAGTTGGAGCTATTCCAGAAGAGCTTGGAATCGTTGGTTTGCGGAATATATCTCGAACCGATTTCAGGCGGGTTCTAGCAATGGGCAGCCGTATTCGGACCGTCAGGTGTGCACTTTTGCTGTTTCCATGTACCCACCGCCGGAATTGTCCACACTAGTGTCAAAGAAGCGAACTTCTTTGTGGGCTGCAGGAAAAGAGCGCACAGTGTGGCACTCTCAAGCCTGATCCGCCTCGGACAGCCCAATACCACGACGCACTGATGACAGACGAGATTCAAAATTCAAACCATGGAGCATGAGGCCTGTCATGACCGGTTTGCAGCTCCTCTGTCGATCTCAAACCTCAGACCTTCTACCAGAAATCACTTCTCGAAATCCCCAAGAGCCCCAAACCACTGGCAAATGAGCTTGAATGCCGAGCAAGAAGCAAATCCCCTCTCTCAGCCTCTATCCGCACGGTGCGCATCTGGACATTTGCGTCACAGACCCTGTGTCAGCGCGAGGTCATGAAGTATGATTCCATTTCAGGATATTTCAGGTGTCCAGGCTTGGATGGCAGAAGGCGTTACAAAACGGCTTGCATGTCTAGGTTCGTCTCCGCACGTGCCCTCGCAAGCATTTGGGGTCTGCGGGGTGCCTAGTTGACAAGATGTCGAGCTGGAGCTGTGTAAAGGTACATGGACCAGGACTTCAAATGAATACTAGTTTCTACCATTCAGGCTCCTGTGGCGGTATCTGAAGGAAGCCTTTACCGGTCAATGTACTTTTGGTAGTAACATGAATCTGTCTCATGCAGAGCGTTCGTCGCCATCATCATCAGCACAACCGTCATCTTCCTCATGACGGTGATCGCCATCATCATGACGACACCAGCAACAATAGCATCAAAAGACCAAAATGACAACCACCGCGATAGCAGCAGTAGCAGTGTGGGAAGAGTGCCTGCTCGTCATGGCCAGCAAGCACGACGAACTATTGGACCACACAAATCGCAGCAGCAATAGCAAGCGCATTGCAGACAGTATAAGTCATATATAACTGTTAACAGTATACTCCTGCTGAAGCATTCAGAACAACCGTAGTGGTCGTGATTGGAGTAGTCGTTGTAAGGCTGGTACTGAGACGGCACACATATGCAACGCTGGAGACACATAAACGAATGCACTCTAGTACATGTGCTCATATAGTCAGTTTACAGATCCCTATGTACATTTGCATATATATATATAAAGCATAACA